TCCTTATATAAAATACTATACCCCAAAAGGAGGATAGAATCTTACTCTATGTTGGGTACCATAGTATCCCCAAATAAGATACTACTCAGATGATTTTACCGAGGCCGTCGTCGGTTTGCAAGAAGCCGGGTCTCCCAGTTGCTAGGCCGTAGTTGCCTGATGCTGTGTTCGGTACAGCGCCAACATGAACTAAGAAAACACAAAGTATCAGCTGACATGTTGTGGATGCGTTGAGGGAACCTTTGACATTTCTGCTTCAGGTTTGCTTGGAATCATGCATTCCTCCAAGAGGAGAACCAATGGTTGACCTTCATGGTGCAAGACTTGTCACATCAGAATCTCTCAAGAGTGGTAGGCAGGATCATGTCGTGCAAGCGGGAACCATGCTCGCAAACAGTAACCAGGCAACAGAGCAGTAGCACAGTTTACCTCAGAGAAGTGCCGCTGTATCAGTATGCACGCTGTAGCGACAAGCAAGAATTTCCCAGCACTGTCTCGCTTGAACCCCAGCCACTCGCGCCAATCCATCCTTCCAGTATTCCAGCATGGGGGAGGTTCCTGGCTTTGCTTACCACTGACTCACTCATGCGATAGTGAGACTGACAAAGCCAGCATCCAAAAGATCTTCCGCCCTTCTAAACCCTGTGATGGCAGCTACCTGGGTAAAGAAAACAAACTTGAATTGTAACCAGGTAATGTCATGCAGTCTCTTATGACTGTAGTTGGTGATATGTCTCTAAATCGAAGATCCCAATGGAATCTTCCATTCTCTCTTCCATTTGACTCTCCATTATTGGGATGTTAGTCCCCCCCTAAACAACAAGCCTTAAACAAGAACTCCAAATATATTAAAAATACATATCCATATCCCCTATATCCCCTTGAAATGGAAGACAGTATCATCTCTAGCAGTCCAAGGCCTGAGGCAGCTGTTCCGGCTAGGCAGGGCCCCTCCGAACCAGCCTCAGTTAAGACAGCTTGCAAACTGAGGAGTGCAACACGTAGCAGCCTTAATTAAGATTTATAGGGTTCAGAGTTTAGGGTTTAGGGTTTAAGGCTTGGGGTTAAGTATTAAACGTCTGGCCCCACAGTAACAGTTGGACAACACTTGAAATATAATGGTATATAGCAGTGAACACGACCACATTATAGAAGGTTACTGGGTGGGGGCAGTACCCCAGGTATTGTTGTTCTTTCGGTCTCTATTTGTTCTTAGTTCTACATGTCAAATTTCAGTTGTGAGGGGAAACTAGAAAGCGGTAAAACATTGCACCATGTTGCATAGTCCCCCTTAAGTAGATAGAATATGGCTGTGGGTATATTATAATAAGATCCCCACATACCCCATAATCTATCTACTTAAAGGGGACTGTAACTCCACGCTGCTTGCAAGGAGGCTTCACTAGCATGTCGAGGCTCAAGCTTTCTGCAAAGATGCCTCGGGGAGTTTGGGCTGGGAGGTTGGGACAAGTGTTTTAGTTCTTAGTACAATATAGTACAATATAGTATTATATAGTATAGTATAGTAAAGATCACTCCCAAGAATGGGGGCCCATGATTTTGAGAATAACCCACAAGGTATAAGGATCCTCTACTAAGTCACTTCACCTTTCCGCAGGCAGTTATCATTTTCAAAGCTAGGGTCCTGCAAAGCTCGCGGGGCCTTGGCTTAGCTGGTCATGGGCACGTGTGGCGCACGCTGTCTTCTTCTTCTGTACTTCTGGAAGTTCCAGATGGGCTGTGCGCTGCCTGGGTCACCGCAGCTGCTGCAGACACGCTTGCTTACCATCCCTGGACCTGGGTTTGGGTGGTTTAGGGTTTAGGGTTTAGGGGCGTCGTCCGAGATTTACTTGCTAGCTGGTCATGTTAAAATTCGTGACCGGTCGGAACAATAAGCATGCAAAGGCCATCCCCTCCACCGTCGCAACAACAAGCTGGACCTGAACCTGAGGGTCCAGGCTGAGCATAGCCCCCACATAGCCCCCACACGGTCCCACAACAATCCTAGATCATTCCCTAAACAACGCTCTGAATGTTCAAAGGCAGCATAGAAGCCTAAAACACCTCTTAGAGCCTTCGACCTGCCCCTAAAGCGCCATCAAGCCCTACTGTAGAATCCCTAGAAGAGCATGAGGAGTCTCATGAAAGAGGTCTTCCCCAGAATGCTCAGTTTTTTAAGCATCTCGACAATATGGTAGTTTCCCAAAATTGGGGACCGTAACGTAGACCCCCAGAATAATCTTTGCTATTGGGACACCCTTTGAAAACCTCCAATATGTAGTAGTTTCCATTTTCTTTTCCATCGAACCCCAATACATACCCTTATGTGGTTTCCATTTCATTTTCCATTTTCTTTTCCTTCTAATTCTTCATTATACATCTCCCAGCTTGCTTAAACGCTAAACCTTATATAACCCATTCTAGTAGTTTCCATTTTATTTTCCATAATCCCAATATAACCCCAATATAATCCCTATATAATCCCTATATGATCCCTATAATTCCGAAAGTTTCCATTGTCCCACTATAACCCCAGTATAACCGAGAGGAGGTGAGTTGGCCTCTCTACTTGGCGGGACTTCCTTGGCACGGCAAGGCCAAGAGGCGCTCCTCGCACGCCGTACGTGGGAGGCCTTGTTCTTAATGGACTCACCGCAGAGAGCTTGATACAGGTAGTCCGGGAGTAATATAGGGACACTATAATCTGTATGATGTACCTGTACCTGCATGTTTTGAAATGTTGAAGGCTGAATTTCAGCGCAGGGCCGACCGACAGTAGAATCAAGTCCAGACCCAATTATTGTGTTGGGAGTGTATACCGAATACCTGAACCCAAATAGAGAACACAGGTGGGAGTGGCATGAAAAGCATCAATATGCTTGACGATTGCCATTAGTCAGGGCGCAGTGTTTTACAACTGGGCAAGGTTCAAAGACATGTTGTTACAATTGCCGCCCATGCTCGTGCTATTATGGTGTAGTCACTTGGAGGTACTTGGTTGCGCGTTCTGCCAGTCTTGGTATGTTGGAATGGGGGGTTGCTGGGTCACTGTTAAACGGAAAGCCTTCCTTTGTCAATCCCTAAACCCAGTAAGGACAACAAATAACATAGTATATGGGGGTAATATTGGGATAGTGGAAAAGAAAATGGAAACTTGTATATTAGAGGGTTATATGGGGGTTATACCACTTGCCAATGACATCCCGTCAATGGCCCTTGAAGCTCGTATCATGGGATCCACCCTGTCTGCCAGGCGCTAAGGGACGGCCTTGGCCCATTGCGGCTCGAAGGCTCCTCCAAGCGGTTGCAGAAGACGCTCAGTTTCAAGCAGCACTAGGAGCACAAGAGAAGGAGGCGGAGGATGAGGAGGAGAAGGAGCAATAGGAGGAATGCTTGCCGTAATTATATAGTTGTCATTACTGTTGCTACTGCTGTGATTACTGTTATTGCTGTTCTTACTATTATTGCTGGCGGATGTCGGTGGCCAGTTTTGTTAGGATGCTTGCAGAGTTGGCCCTCTCCATGGAGCCGGTGGCTTCACCGCAGCTGGAGAACACAGTCGTCAGTGACCATGCTTGACTTGAAGGCTTATACTCTGGCCTGTTATATTACATTACATGAGCTATGGTCTAAACCTATAGTCGAAACTTCCAGTATCCCGACTAACAAGCCTTATAATCGGATCCCAGCAAGAGAATCATATATGATCAATAGGGGCAGTAGGGTAGAGGCCTCCAGGTGCAACTACAGCGCAAGGGCTTCCCTGGCAAAAGACCCTTCTGGTTGACTCCATGCCTTGATGCAAGTGGCTGCAGTGAGCTGTTATGATGGGCCCGAGGCGAGAACACCTGCAAGATGCTTCTACGTCTTTGCGATGGCCTGTCAATCGAGTGCGTGCTCATTCAGATGGGCAAGCATTCAAGCCTCTGTGTTTCCAGCCAGGTGGGTTGCAAGCAGGCCTGTGTCTTCTGCGCCACTGGCAAGTTAGGCGAGGTGCGTAACCTGACTACGTACGAAATTCTTGCGCAAGTTTGGCTGGCCCAGAGACAAGCCAGGGAGCTTAACTGGCCAAAGATGCACAACCTCGTGTTCATGGGCATGGGCGAGCCGGCAAATAATTTGGACTCAGTAGCTCAGGCGCTTGAGCAACTAACTGATTCAAACAGCTTTAGCATCTCACGCCGGTATATCACGGTTTCAACGGTTGCACCATCCCCTCGCCAAGTTCTACGCTTGGCGGAGATGCCTTGCAAATTAGCTTGGTCGGTGCATGCAGCAACGGATCCAGTGCGTCGGCGACTGGTGCCAAGCAGCAAGCATTCTTTGGCTGATTTACGGGACGCGTTCTTGAAGTGCCTGCAGCTGCGACCAGAGAGGTTTAGACAATTGATTTGCGAAGTCGTGCTCCTGGACGACATCAATACAGATCCAAGCCATGCCAAAGCGCTCTCAGACTTACTAGCTCCATTTGACCGAGAGCAGATCCTTGTGAACCTGATTCCGTACAACGACATACAAGGGCTTGTAAACCGCGGTTTCAAGCTGGACGTAACTTCCAAGCTGGCGGCACCTTCCTTGGACACGGTCCGCAGCTTTCAGCGCTCTTTGTGGAACCATGGGCTGTATTGTTCCGTGCGACAGACCCGCGGTGAGTCCAAAGCCTCAGCTTGTGGGCAGCTGGCTGCAGTGACTGGTCTTGCAGCACTGGTGGGCGGAAAATACAGGGGTTTGGGTTTAGGGCAGCTTTTTCTTTCAGATGGGTGGCCCTGGCGCTGGCAAACCAGTCCATGAAGGGCCTGTCACTATAGGAATACGGTCATGTGTTTGACATCGCACCACCGAAGTCAGCCTCTTTCTGTTGTAAAGCCGACCCCTGCTTAGTAGTATTACAATTGAATAGTTCATAAACAGTTACCATATTACTCTTAGTGATATTACTATCTAGTAGTATGACTATGCCTGTTATCAGCATTAAGTAAGCCATGCCCAGGATGGAGACGAGGATGACAAGGATCCAGGCCTTGGCTCTCAACAGTAGTGGTAATATTCATACGAGTAAATAATAGTATGAATAAGAATATTATAGTGACTATTTAATGGTAGGAAAACTATAAAATACTGATAGTAAGGATGATAAAGAAGAATTGTTACTCGTTGACTGCACGCAACATTTGTTTTGGCAACATGACAGGTCACGATAGATAAAACTTCCATGTTCAGACGTTCAGACCTGCAGGCAAGAGGGTGGATGAGTTCTTCAAGCCAGCCTCTTAAAATGCATCCATGCGGGGGACTGGATCTGCCTTCAAGGGAGGTGTGTCTGCCTGAGGAATCCGACCATTGGGACCTTCATGAACTCTCCCTACTACGGTGAAGATGGAGTGTACGAGTCTCAGTCCTTCTTCTCATCCTCATCATGACCGTGGTGTGGTGCCGTTCCTGCCATGGCGTGCCACACGACGCGGCATTTGCGCGACGACTTCCGCAACAGCTGCTGCTGCTGCTCCTGCTGGCGCAGCCCCCATGCCTATGACCCCAGGGTCGCTGTCACGCACAAACACATCATTTGGACGTCGAAATTGCATGAAGAGCAGTCTTTTGCGTGTAGCCTCCACCATCGGCAATGTCCAAAAATTATGCGGCACTAGGAGCACGCAAGGTCAAGTCCCTGAATGCTTTTGTCAGTTGTCTTTCATGCAAGCATTCAGCAGCCAGTCGTGTGCTGGTTGTATCAATGCAAGTCTCCAGTAGACATCCTGTCACTGTTCGTACTGGATGTTGCATCTTTTTGTCTTTGTCTTGAAGGTTTGGTAGCAGCGGCACGATCAAAGAGAATCCGGCCGGTGGCTTCAGCTTTGAGCTGCCTGGTGGTGGCGGCATCCACATCGACAACGGGTCGGGTTTCTTGGCATGGCTTGCTTGGCTGCTTTGTAAGCCCTGGTCATTCATCATACAGGAAGAGAGAAGGTGGGATGCTCGTAGGTGACCCTGCCTTTGGGGTTATATAGGGATAATGGAAAATGAAATGGAAACTACTATAGTATATTGGGGTTATATAGGGATAATGGAAAATGAAATGGAAACAGGATTTAGGCTTGTGCTTGTGGGAAGGGATGTGTGTCACGTCTACAGCTGGTGAGACTGCCTGTCTGGTAGCTTGACCTGTCGAGACTCTTGCTGGCAAGGCTATCAGCGACGCCTCGCCCTAAGCTTGCCAGATCTTGGCAGATGGATGTCTATAGCCTTGGCTGCGCAATTTTGTGCTGTGACTTATCGTGCCTCCGTGGGCAAACTTGGCCTTGCTGAGTCAAGCAGATGGAGGAAGACTTCGCAAAGACCGGCCACATACCGCCGTGCCCTTGGAAATCCTTCGGCAAGGCAGTGCCAGATGTTTGCGTCTTGCTAGGCCGCACTTGTGGCCGCAGTCTCTTATTCCACAGGCCAGGTTACCGCTCAAGTGACAGCTTGGCAATATGCGACAATATGATTGCTACATCAGGTGACGCTCTGTAATCTCTCAGTCTCTAGTCCCCATAGCTCAGCTAAGATGCCCGATGGCAGAAGCTCCTCATGCTTCAAGGGCACTTGGAAGTGCAAACAACTTTGCCTCCGTACTATCGAGACTCATACAGGATGTGGCAGCTTGCAATGAAACCACCTGTGCAGACTTGCTGCGCCGTATGCATTTGCAGTCAAGACAGCTTGGCTTTGGCAGCGTAAGCTGTCAACAGAATCCTTCAGCTTTGCCATGTTGACCTAGCCGGCCCAGATCCAGACTTAGAAGAGCCAGTACTAGGGTTTGCAGCACAGCCAGCTACATGCCTAGACTCACTCAGTGACTAGCTTGGTTGTTCTAGCCGATTCTAGCCTGGCCTGTTTCACCCAGTCCTCGTGCCCAGCGAAAAGCAGTTGGCATGGCGTGGCTTGGACGGGGCGGCCGCCCTCCTCGAAAGTCCGTGGGTGGCCATGAAAACTCGTTGCGAGATGCAATGAGGCCTCGACAGGGTTGGGTATGCTTGGAGATGGGTTCGGTTTGATCCTCCTTCCACATGTGCCAGAGACCTTCACATGTCTTCTCTTTGTACACAGGTGGCATGTTCCAGGAAGCCGCAAAACATATGGGATGTCAATTTCAGGTCATACGTAAACTTGGAGTCCAGACGGGCAGATGCACCTCCTGAAAAGGTCAACAATCAATTATCATAGCTGACGCTCAGATCTGTCAAGGTCTCGTGGCGGCATTACGATCAGGCCCTCTGCTGCCCCTACAGACATCGAGGACTGCGACTCCGCTTAAGTTCTGACAAGCTGGTGCCTTCAAGCCTGTAGATTCAGTAGATGCACTGGAAGCAAAATCAGAAGCTGCTGGATCATGAATGATTGTACTGCTGCCCTCCGTTCGATGCCCGGGAGGATAACGAGTCAGAAGTGCCAGAGAAAAGCACGTTGGATTGGCTCAACCTCAACGCGCTTGCGCCCAAAGCCATTCAGGGAGCAATTGATAGAATCCGGCTCAGCACCATGGCCAACACCGGCGAAGCTGAGGCAACAGTAATATGGGTTTAGTTGTGTTTGCCACGTTTATCCTTCAGTGCAGCACGCAACCAGCAAATGGGCTTGTGCGACTCCTGCCCATGTGATTGCCAAACAGGCGCAGAAGGAGGCAGAAGGTGAGTTGCTGACATCACCCCGTCGAGCGGGTGGTGGGCAGCCAACCGGTGGCTAGGCAAAGAGATGGATGTGATGTCCTGAAATCCCGCAAGCCCTCCCCGTAGTTTCCCAGTAGCCCGAGCAAGATGTGTAGCTCAGGTTCCAAGGATGGTTACCCGCGGCCGGCACGGAAGTCGCTTAGCTCGGCTCTTCGCGCCCGAGGTGGAATCACCCGACCGTCTTCAGGGACGGAGCCTTTTGCTGATATGGATGAAACCCCTCCATCAGTGCCAGAGGAAGGGGAAGAGGCTGTGCAAGATGCCGGGGCGGAGGAGGATGCAGCAGAAGCTGCTGAGGCAGGGCCTGCGCCTGCGCCCGCCCAGCCTAGTGCAGACAGAACGGCCTCAGCCCCTCTGCCCGTTTTGCATGAAGAAGAGGACGAGCCCAGAACTATACCCGTTGTGCCTGAAGATGCGGAACCCGTTGAAGAAGCTGCGGAGCCCGCGCCAGAGACGCCTCAGGAGACGGAACAGGCTGAGGAAGTCATGGTAGACAGACAGGACGAGCCTGAGCCTCCAGGCTGAGCAGAAGATGTCCGGGATTCCGAAGTTTCCCAAAATTAGGGACCTGTTTTTTGGGGGTCCCAATAATAAGGATTATCGTATTTGCGTGTCTATTTTGGGGTCCCCCTAATTGTGGAAACAACCATCTGCTTCAGTAGGCAAAGTGTCGGACCACACGACGAAAACCCACATACCTGTAGCCTTTAATGTCCAAGCATAAGAGCAGCCAAGGCTGGATGCCCCATCTGAGCAAGCCGACCAAGTTGAGGAAGACCCAGTCAGTTTGCAGGACAGCCGCCGTGCATAGTATATAGGGGTGTTGCCCAAAGTTGCTACAAAACTTCAGCACTCCAGCAGCGCACCAAATCGTCTAGCTCTGTTCGTAGGGACTCGCCAAGAACGTATCATCTTTGGATAGAGATCTTCATGATGGTGTTTTACCCACAGGTATCTGCACATCCAGCTTGGTCCTTCTGAGTCTCAAAGTAGTTTGCAAACTCTCGGAGAATTGAGCAGACCCCATCAAGAAGTACATCAAATCAAGAAGTAACCCTGAGATGTGTGGTTGTCAAAATTATGGTCCCTTTTTGGGTCGCTATTATATTACGGCACCTAATATTTAGGGTACACCAAAAAGGACCATAATTTTGACAACCACCCGTATGATGCCAGAGCCCAAGCATAAGTCACAGGCAGCTGCTCGCAGGACTTACCTCCCAGACAGGTAAGCGAGGACTCAAAGGATGGCAATGAGCCGAGGAGCAAGGCGAAGAATCACCAGGAGCTGCCCATAACCGTAATAACATGTAATAATATGGGTTTAGGGTTTAGGGCTTAATAATAGTAATAATACTAGGAACAGTAATCATAGTAATAACAGTAATAATAGTAATTATAGTAATAGTGGCCATAACAATAATAACAGTAATTATAGTAATCATGGTAACAATAGTAATAACAGTAATAATTGTAAGAATGGGTATTCCAGGGCCACACTTCTTATTGGCCTTGGAACTTGCCAAAGCCTCCCAAACATGGAGAACTTAACATGGTAGGTGACCAAGGGTCCAATTTGAGAGAAGGGACTGCGCTCAAGCGAAAGTTGAAGCCTTTCTTCCGGTTGGCCGTGTATTTCGACAAAGTTGAAGCATGGCAGCTTCTTGTAAGCGTTGAAGTAGAAGCCACGGGTACTGGATTCGGTTTTGGGCTTGGCAGGTCAGGTTGCAGAGCGTCGGGTTCTGAGTGGAAGCGTGTTGGACCACAACCAGACGGCTTTCACGCTTTTCCGCCTGACGTGTGGAACATGATCAGCTGCAGATTTTTACTCAGCCATGAGTCCTACACGACAGGAGTTCGAATTGAAGGGTTGCATTAATTGGTTGTTCCCTTGCTTCACGAGCAGCCGGACTGCCGAACGCCACAAAAATACGCAGGCAACTGGTAGCTCGTGAATCTAAGGCATGATCTCCTCAACCCTCATCCACCCGTTAATTAAACCCCAACCTACCTTTTCCCCCTAATATTAAAGGGCTCCCACCCCCCCTAATGCAATTGTGTTTATCTGGCCCGTATCTAATGTTGGGGGGGAGGGGGAAGTATCGTACGACCCGAACACTAGTATATGGTAGGAACCTATTCTGAAATCGAATTGAAATGGAATGCAAGTCGAATACATCAAATTCAAATAGGATTGAATCTATCTAGAATCGTGCTAAAACCGATTAAAATCGAGTTAGAAGCAATTGAAATTTAATCAACCTTGAAATGAGCCCAATTTGCAAACGTAATCAAATCAATTCACAGTAAACATCAATTCTAAACCTGATTAACATATACTCGAAATCAACCTAGAGTCTGATCAAGATTAGTTGACATCTCTCAAAGTGTAATTTCTGGGGATTCTAGGGTGTAGGGTTCACAAGGCCGTCCAAGATTTTCTTCCATACCCCTTTCATCATCATTCCTCCTAGCAGGAGCCTAGCGCCCGGCTGCCGATGCCCACACCGCTGATGGCCGCCACAGCCTCCGCTCGGAGGGCCGAGCCACCCAGCGTGGTAGAGGCGCCCAAGCTTTCAGAGGCTGGGGAAGCAACTTTTGGGACGGAAGGGGTTGAGGGATCAAGGATGGTTTGTGAAAAGGAGGAGGAGGGCCTAGCTAAGGTTTTTGTCGATGTTGATTTTCTTTCTTGGAAAAGTAGGTAACCCCCTGAGTTAGATTCGATCATGACGCTGGGCAAAATGTTCTTCGGGGGCTGTGCGACAGAAGGCCGTAGGATTGTTTTGGCGCTTGGCAGCTCGCGGGTGATCCCGCAAAGTCGTGACCACAATCATAATCTACTCCCCCTAACATCCTGCATCACTATTACCCTGGCGAAGCTGTATGGCCACGCACGTGGCAAAACTCCTTACAACTCACTTTCCCCACGAAGCACCCGCCTTTTTGTGGTAGTTTCCCAAAATATGGGGACCCCAATATAGACCCCAAAATATTCTGGTCCTTATTATAGGGACCCCCAAAAAGGTACCCCTCATTTTGGGAAACACCCTTGTGTGGTCCAGGCAACGCAGGAGCCAGCAGGGAAACCGCTGCTGGCGCCCGAGCCGCCAACCCTACGGATCCAGACTAAGGATGTGGGGAAGCTGAAGGACTCTTTCAGGGTTTAGGGTTTGGGGTTTAGGGGGGGGAAGCCGAAGGGCTGCTACTAGAACTCTTTTTCATGTTGCGCTTCTTATACATACTCTCATGAGTAGTGCTACTAATTTTCAATGCTATTATGAGATTATGAATATTGCTATTGGTGATCAATGTTATCATGAATGACTACTGACTGTATACCTCTAGGACTGCAAGTTAAGGGGAGACCCAGATAATGGCAAATGCTAGCATGGAACGGGCCTCCAAACTAAAAAGGGTGCCCTGCTGTATTGGGAAATAGCTGAGACAAGACGATGTGCCTAAGAAACACACAGAAAGATGCCTGGAAGTCGAAAAGAAAGTCTCTGGTAATCAGGTCATGTAAGGCCTGTTGGGAACGAACGAAATTTAACAAACATGAGTGGCCATCTGAAGGCAATTTCACATGTCATATTTCTCAAACATGCAGCCCTGTGCCATCCTCAATGCATGGCCACCGCCCCTTGCTTATCCGCCAGAAATCCCCAGGCAGGGTCTTATTCTGGGTGTGCAGGAACTGCGGGAGTTCTGGGGCAACAAAAGCTCCAAAGGCTTTGCCGGACCTGGTCTGGCCGGTTCCAGGCTGGTGACATGGGGGAAGTAGGGGAATTTCAGAGGAAGGATCCTGCTTCACGGGTACATTTTTAGGAGGACCTCCCACCCTGTAGTAGTAGCATAATGGGAATACAATAGGACCCTAGTATAATCCCTATTATCCCTCATGGTCACTATTACTGGGTGGGGGGGTACAGCTAAGGTTTGTTTTGGAACAAGGGCCATGGCTTTGACAGCCTGCACCCACCTCAGTGCAGCCAAATTCTCGGAAGGATCCACAGATTACTGGCCAAGAGGAACATACGGTACCAAGTCAGGCGTTCCCTTTGTTCGAAATGGTAGTTTCCCAAGTTGAGGGGACCCCAATATAGACCCCAAATTATTATGATCCTTTTTATGGGGGCCCCCAATAAGGTACCCCTAACTTTGGAAAACCCCCAGATCCTACTGGATGTTTGCAGCACAAGCCTGTCGGAACACTGGACATCATATTGCTTTTTGAAAACTGCCCACCATTACTTCTAATGAAATTTGCAATCCCTGTCCCTTTGATTCTCCATTGTTGAGGTATCATCGCCCCAATGCCCTGCTGACCATTCAAGCGCTTAATTGTCCATGGCTTTGTGAAAGGCTATCGAAGAACGAAGCTCAGGCGACTTTGCAAAGACTGCTCATCGCAGGCCATGGGCTTTATAACGTAGAAAGCTGCTTGGAGGATTCTCGCGTGCACAGAAAGAAAGACAAGTACATGCCGATGATTGCCCATGTGTATGCACATGTTTATGTAAGTGTTGCACCTTTATGCACATGTACATGGATGTGCACGTGTATGTAGCGAGTCATACATGCATATAGACACGTGCATGCTTCTGTGCATGTTATGCATAGGAGCAGTGTTGTAGCATGCCACTTCCGGCCACTAGCTGTTTCCTCCATGTTGGCGTCGTCTGTTCTTGAGCATCAATCTAGGTTTGCTACAAGTTGCAGGTAGACACATCATCCGACTGATTTTCCTCCCTAAGGCAAGGCTTACTTTAAGTATAACCTTGGCCTTCCCTCACTACGCAGGAATGTTTTTTCTTTCAGCTTATTTGCTGCATCTGAATACCCGGAGGCGGAGATTTTGATGAGGTTCGGCGGCTTCGCAAGATCATCGCCGACTTGGATGCTTAAGGATGCCTGCTTCTTAGACTGCCCGCTGTCATTTTTTCCGCTGTCTCTGTAATGTTGCCTTGACATGGTGTATCATGGTGTCCTTCTTCTGCATTTTCCTTGCCCAAGTTGAATGCTGAGGTGCTGCTGCCCTTCAACCTAGGTTCGGTTACCCATTGGGATATCACAGCTGCGTAAACCCTTGGACGAGAACGTCTTGCCCATGTCCAAACAGAGCAAGCGGGCTTTTCCAAAGGTGGCCTGCGTAGTGAAATTGAGCGTAGTAGACCTCGGTCTGTCTTTTGGTCCGGCAGCTAGCTGGAATGACCTGAGCATAACACCAAATTACACAACCTGCATGGTGTATGCTCTTTTTCAAAGACAGAGGCCGGGTTTCCGTTTAGACAGTCAATGCGTGAGCGGTCAAATGACCAGTTCAGTTCAGTGGTTTTGTTTTCAATTCAGTGCATGATGTGAACTATAGTCTAAACTCCTAGTATCCCCCTTAGTAACCCCTATAATACTCCCCTATACAGTCCCCTATATAACCCCCTTTAAGGAGTTTAGACTATGGCTCATGTGAGGCATGTGAGGGCTGCCATGGTAGAGCAGCACCCGCCATCAGCGCTGGTAACTGCCAG